CCAATATTTTTAACCTGTTCAGCAGCACAAGTGTTTTCATTGGATCCCTTGCTCTTCACTTTCCACAATAGAATAGAATAGAGCTGGAAGGGACCTTGGAGGTCTTCTAGTCCAGCCCCCTGCTCAAGCAGGAGAACCTATACCATTTCAGACAAGTGACTGTCCAGTCTCCTCTTAAAAATCTCCAGTGATGGAGTACCCACGATTTATGGAGGCAAGCTGTTCTACTGGTTAATTGTCCTCACTGTTAGGAAGTTTCTCCTTAATTCCATGTTGCTTCTTTCTTTGATCGGTTTCCAACCATTGTTGCTTGTCTTGCCCTCTGGTGCTTTAGAGAATAGTTTGACCCCTCTTCTTCAATGTCAGTGTAATAGCATGTGCACATCCCCTAGAGGTATGCTTAACTACCAAGATGGCATCCTGTGTTTATCTACTTAGAAGTAAGCCTGATTGAATTATGTGGGAATTAGTAATGAAAATTAGGATTGCAGTGCTCAGTTGTAACGCTGTGCCTCAAATCCTTTTTGCAGTGGGACTCCTCTGGAGTTAACTTACATGAGAAGCGTGTTTCCAAAGGCAGGCAGAGAGAAAGAAGATGGATGCTTAAGTGACTTGAGACAGGCATTCACAACAGATATAATGTGTGCTATCAACACTTATCCAAAATATATACCCCTCAACCAAGGCATATTTTTCATTTAGTCAATGTGAACATTTTTCCTCTTATGGCTCATTGACTACAAACTACTACAATTGGATATGGCACAGAAAAGTGAGAAATCAGAAAGAGTAAAAACAATTTCAGTGTGCTAGTGTTGTTTCTCCTTGTGGCACAAGTTTTAAGAAATTAAAATTACATTTGATTGATTCCTATTTACAAACAACATTCCATCAGGTAAAATGTCTGAACGGAGTTTTTCAAAGAAGATCATGCAAATAGAAGCCAAGCAATGAAATTCTTATACTATTTGCACCAACATATCTTTTGAAAGCTGCAACAGCAACATAACTTATTACAGAAATAGGCTAAATGTAGAACATGATCTCGCTTTACAAGTAACATCAATGACTCAGTATACTGAACTTTACTCAAGGAACAGGAATCACATCATTAAACAATGTTTTCTTTGGTTAAAGCACGGGTATCAAACTCACCACATGACGTGTCGTGACATATCGTGATTTTTTTTTTGCATTGCCAGAACTGGGGTTGGCGCAGCTTCCGTATGTTGCAACCGGCCCATGGGCCAGCAGTTTGACACCCCTGGGTTAAAGCATTTACCTCCCAGATATTGTGAAATTTAAGTTTTACTTTTTTTTTCTATGTTGAATGTGTTAATCTTGCACTTACAATAAACAGTTTTGGTGTGTTTTTTTCATTTTATTGCCAATTTTCCATTATTGGAACTTTCCTTCTTAAACAGGGGAGCCAGGATTTTTTTTTCTTTTTAACTAGCAGGTTCTGCTGCCTGAAAAATTTTGAAAACTCCTGCTATTAAAACAATCAAGGGCCAGCACTTTGCCTTTGTGACATGCTTGAGGCTAAATTAGGGCATTGCCCGTGATGTCATAATTTCACCAGAGGACTGGAGCCAAAGTCCTTTATCTTTGTCTTTTCACGTGGCTTTATAAGTTCCATAAATTACATGCATGCATATAGATGTATAGATAGAACACACCTCTGGGAAAATAGGGCTTCTTAGGCTTAGTATTTTTTTCCTTGAAATGTCCCATGAGTTTTTTGGGATATATCAGTCTCCCAAGTAGACCACAGGAAACATGACAAGGTAACAACTTGGCTTTAAGGCCTCTTTAACTTAAATGGACTCCAGAAGATGGTAGAGGACAGGAAGACCTGGAGGAACGTTGTCCATGGGGTCGCGATGGGTCGGACACGACTTCGCAATTAACAACAACAAAACATAATCTTGCAAGTCTGAAATTACAAATTGCCTGCCATCTCTTTGTATAACCTAAGGTGGATCCTCTCTTAAGTTTTGTTTTACTACCCATCACTCAGTTTTGGGCTTCTCCCCCTTTTATCTGATTGTTCCCTAGGCAGCATCTCTTCTCCTATCTTCCGAGTCATTCTCACATTGTATTATAGGTCAGCATCTTTAAATAATAAATACGATAAACATAGCCACCTACCAATACTTGAAGGACTGTCATAGTGAAAAGGGAGTTGATTTGTTCTCCATAGCAGCTGAAAGCAGGCAAGAAGCAATGGATGGAAGCATGTTAGAGCAGGGGTGTCAAACTGCTGGCCCACAGGCGGGATGCGTCATGGCGAAACTGCGCCCACCCCATTGCCGGCAATGGAAAAAAAGTTGCGATATGTCTTGACACGTCACATGATGTTGCAAGTTTGACACTCCTGTGTTAGAAGGAGATTCAACATGGGGGAAAAAAGAATTCTTAAGAGAACTATTAATCAATGAAACAACTTGCCTCCTGGAATTGTGGGTGTTCCATCACTGGGGGTTTTTAAGAAAAGATTGGACAACCATTTGCCCAGGATGGCATAAGGACTCCTGCTTTGGGTAAGGGGTTTGGACAAGAAGACCTCCAATATCTTTTACAGCCTTCTGATTCTATGATTCTAATAATAATAAGTTGTAATTACATGAGTGCCTTTTGTCTTTAATTTTCAAATCCCAAGTGCAAAGATTAGACTGAAAATAATTGCTCCAACCTGTGGTGGAACACTGCAGGTTGGGTGCTGGAGGCCATACGCAGTCCATATGCCATGAGTTAAACATGCTTGCTTTAGAGCAGGGCTTTTCAACCAGTGGTACGGGTACCACCTGTGGTACATTGGCACCTGGCAGGTGGTATGCGACCATCCTAGAAAAGTGGTAGCGGGGGAGGGGAATGAGCTGAACCGGTGGCAGCACCGCACAAGCCTGAGCGAGAGATGGCTAGAGCTGCAGGGCTGTCAGGACTCAGCGGAAGCGCCAGGATCAGTGCCACTTTCCAGCTGATCGGCGCTTCTTTGGGGCTGTCAGGGCTCAGTGGAAACGCCAGGATCAGCGCCAGGATCCAGCTGGAGATCGGCGCTGATTCTGATACTTCTGCTGAGTCCTGAAGAAGCACCAATCAGCTGAAATGTTGCAGCATCTCCAGGGTCTTGTGATTTACATTCAGATGCTTGGCAACTGATTCATATTTATGATGGTCACAGTGTCCCAGGGTCATGTGAAGTGACCAAAACCTGCTGCAACCACCCAGCAGATGGGGGGAATAAAAACCAAACACCCCCACCCCACCCCCGCTGCCAATCCTCAACAGAAATGCTCACAACAATGGAAACCTCGGACAAGAGGAAGAGCGCCGCCGGGCGGGCAGGCAGGTGTCTTGCTCAGCTGTGGCTTGGGGGGCACTTTTTTCAGTGCCATTGTAACTTCGAACAGTCACTAAGCGAAGTGTTGTAAGTCGAGGACTACCTGTAGTCCTTTATCACTTTTTTCCTTCTTTTTTTTTTGGTCATCAAGTTTTTGACACCTTGCTAGTTGACTGGTGGTACTTGGATGTTGCCATATCCTAAAAATGGTACAATGGATGAAAAGGTTGAAAAGCCCTGCTTTAGAGGACATCCAGTTGCTAAAACCTGGGAGCTCCATCTTATTTTAGATAACAAGATATTTGGGGCTGTACACATGGTGGAAGTTGATCTTATAAAAAATCACTTATCCAACTGAGAAAAAAATGTGTGCTTATAACACATCATCATTTATTTCTGGCTCAGATGCAGTAATTTCAAACCACAATAAAACTAGCTTTTTCTTTTAAAAACTGCAGCTCAGTTGGGCTTGAGGGCAATCCATTTTTCCTCATTTGCAGAAACAACTACTTCATACTTCCAGGATTTAGCTGCCCTAGTCAGGTCTATCAAGGGGAAAGGTGACTTGGCAGCTTTGCAGTTCTACTTCACTGGAACAGTTTGGATTTTTATTTTATTATTTCATTTATTTTAGCATAGAGCCAAATGGACATACTATAATATACAAAAATGTGGAGCGAGGGAAAGTCAAGGCAAATCATTTTATTTCTCTTTTTGCATGGAGAGGGTGAGAGGTTTTTAAAATTATTCTAGGATTTGCAGAAGGTTGGAGACAATGCAGTGATTGTTTTTCGTTGTTCTCAGTGTTGTGATGTTAATGGAACAGAAGACAACTGATTTTAGCAATGGGAAAGTAACTGGATTGTAATAACATGTACATTCTAATTATTGTCTCTTAATAAAATAAGAGGAGGAAGATATTCATCACCTTGGCTTGTTTATAAAATGATAAAGGCGGAAAATGAATGAATGGAATGAATAAATAAAAAACTTGTTCTGAGACAATGTCAATGTCCTATATATAATATTCTTGATTTCTATAGAAATCAAGAATACATAGATCAATAAATTGATCTTGCTCCTATTACTTTTATAGGGTTACCTACCTGAGCAGGGGGTTGGACTTGATGACCTCCAATGTCCCTTCCAACTTTTTTATTATTATTATTATTATTATTATTATTATTATTATTATTATTATTATTATTATTATTATTATTATTATTATTTTTAAATAAATAAATAATCAGTATCAATCTAGGAATTAAAGAGAAAATAGAATTTTAAATCAAATCAAAATTGAAATCCATCAAAAATTTACAATTTTACAGTGCCGTTAACCAATATGTAAAAGTATACATAGGAAAAAATACAGTTAGAGTGAATAGCCAGATACATTTTTAAAAAGGATTCAAATGGCTAGTATATTCAAAGTTTAGTTTAAAAGCATATTGTTTGTTAGAAATATAAATACTATAATTCTGTTTATTTCTGTTTGACTGACTTACCAGATTTTATCAGTAAAAAAAAATAAAGTGCCACTCCTATTATTAACTTTAGTATAAGCTTGTCAGATAGGAGCACAATATTTCCATATTTTTTATTCTCCAAAGTGTTCTAATTCATAGTCCTAAAAACTTACTTTATCTGTTAGCAGATTGGGTCCTTAGAGAGAACAAGACTGAAGCCAAACATGACTGAGGGGGAAAAAAAGAAGATTTGGAGATTTATAGAAGGAATAATTGAAAAAGAAAAAGAAAGAAGAAGAAGAAGAAACCTAAATCCAATGTGTCCAACAATGTGCTGAGGTCTCTTCAAACAAAATGTGTGGGTGTGTGAAGACTGATAAGATATCACTGGGTGGAACAGAAGTGTATCCAAATTATAATTCAGAGTAATTAGCCCTATGTTAATGTCTTATGACATTACTCTTATTACATGATTGAATATTATTCCTTTTGGTTTTTTTTTTCATTGATGTTGTGATTATTTTGGAAGATACTGGTGAACTGTAACCTTTGTGTGGCTCCACATGGATTTCCATAATAGAGAAGCTGAAGTGAGATTATGCTACTTCCTAATGACAATGTTGCTGACATCAATAAAGCATCCTTACATTCCTTGAGTCGGTTTGATGATACCCTTTTTATAAACTGTAGCATATTTTTCATTTAAAGTAATCCTAAAGCCAAATACAATAGCAATAAATCATACTACACAAATTAAAATATAATGTAGTACTATCAAACCAAGATAACTTATAAATGTCTCAATGAAGAAATGCCTGGATGAAATGGCACCAATAGATAAAGATTACATGCACCAACCACAACTGAACAGGGAAAGATTTCAGCATTCAGGATGTCTTTAATGGTAAATGTCTTTCTTAGCAGGCCATCTGATCTTATAAATGATGTTGCAGATGGGCTGAATCATTTTGAGTAATTTAGTTAATTGTCACTAGCATGAGTGTTTTGGCCAGTTTGATAGAAAGTTGATTAATGGGATCCTGGTCTGTATCTAAAATAAATTTTAAATAGGTCACATTTTGACCTTCAAAGAAAGTGAACTGAACAATTTACTATGTTTCTTATCCAAAACCCCATTATTTTCATTGCCTATAAAACAAAAATATCTCTTTACACAATATGCAAAAGAATATGCTGAACTTTAAACAATCATTTTGACTTTCTTGAATGTATGATGAAATACCACAGGAATGCAAATTCACTGCAAAGGACTGCTAGCTGATGTATCATGTATTCAAGGCATCTTCCTAGTAGAAACTTGCAACTTGTGGGAGAATTAGAAGTATTTTTGGATGAAAGTGTGCAGTTTATTCTTTTCTGCGGAAAACACTGGGGAATAGTTTTATATTAAGACATAGCAAGGTAGAAACCTTGAAAAATTGAAGACATAAATGTGTAGACTATATCATCAATTTACAGGAACTCATAGTGAGGGTGGCTGAAATTCTAAATCGTATTCACCTGACTCAATAATTTTGTTCAGGTAACTGGAGAAATCTGAAACTACATTGGTAGTACGGATCAATAATTGGGCTGTAATAACTGAAGATACCATTATAAGTTACGTAAACAAACGTGGTAGATGTGTATTTGCTTGGATAAGTATGAACAATATAATTAAGCTGTTTGGATAAGATAACAGGAGAAGACAATATATTTTGTTCTGCTACGCATTAGTGGCAGGTGAGGTGGTTGGCTTTGCATATGGGAGAGATTTCTTAGTTTATGTTGACCATGGAATGAAAATATCAGATAGTTGTCTCTAACCAGGTATCGATCTGTTTTCTGTTTTGAAGTTTAGGCATGCTGATTGGTAATTTTGAGAACCATAGTCTGGAATATGTATCGGATAAAGCTAAAATAAAAGTAAGGAAGATAGTCATCTAACAGGTGGCAAATTGAGAAAAAGTGAGAAATATACTGTAGATCTCCTTTTGAAATATTCATTCCAGCAGACTATGTTGTTATATGCATATGTTAATAATTGCTACAATTATCATGCAAATACAGATTTGCATTTAGAGATAGGTTTGATACTATAGTAAGAACTTCCACTGCCCTTTCCAGCCTATACTTATCAGAAGCAGGAATTTGAGGTTGCAAATTCCAGAATTATCCTGAGAAATTCCAATACTTTGGGTATCTACCAAGTTAAGAAATGCTACAACATTAGATTTACTGGTTTGCTAGTAATAAAAGGACATCCCTATTGATACTATTTTCTTTGGACCCCGTACTGTAGGCTGACAGCTTAATTATTGGACTATAAACTAAGAATGTGCAGGAAGACAGGACTGGATATTCCTGAATACCAACATAATAAAAATATATTCTTAAGAACTTAGCATAGTTTTTGCGGTGGAGGTGACAGTTTTTTACTTCCTATCATAGAACATAAGTTTCAGCATTATCTAATCATCTTATAGGCACATGCATTTTCTGATGCTAGAATTGTGCTTGATATCCTTTGTATAGTCATTTGACTGATGGCTATAACTTCACCTGCCATTCTCTGCAATGATCTACTGCCTAAATAGAGAGCACAGTTGTAAAGCTGGAAGAGAGTCAATCTGCCTGAGGCTACTCAAGGAATCCACAGATACTGAGATGGTCCTTCTATCCAAACAAAATGCTAGGCAGATTGTTCATTTCTTTCTAATATTAATATTCTAAGGCTGCTACGTCTTTATATTTTGGTTTAAAGTATTAGTTATGAGGTAATTTACTAGATTTTTTAAAATGATATTCCACTTATCTTTTGATGAGTGAACGAGCTTGGGTTGCTGCAGAATTATTGAGACATTTATGAAAATCATGAAAAAAATTCTTTGATATATATAGTAGCCATTAGAATAGATTAAATCATAACATTACAATAGTAAATAAAACTGGAAATATATCTAGTAGACAGTATGTAACTATAGTCCAATTAAAGATTACACTGATATATAAATTTAAAGGAAAGTCAGTTAATGAAAACTAGAAAAATATTAATATTGGAACAACTGATAATTTTCTCTCATCTACATGGTGGATGTAGGGAGAAGTCATAGCAATACTTCTCTAAAATTTATTTTATGGTGAGGAATCTTTTTCTCTGATACTTTCTCTAATACAGAAAAGCTTAATGCATAGAGTAATATAATGGTTAAACCTTGCATTTAGAATGGAGAAACATCTAAGTTCTCCTTTAGCTACTAAGATTACTGAATGCTTTTGACCAGTTACTGCCTTTTAGCATAACTTACATGATGATTGTGCATCCAATGAGTGATAGCATGCAGAAATTAAGATCTTGCACATCACAAGTTCAGTTAAAGCTTGTGGGTGTTGTTATCATACAAACAAAAGAAGTGGCATTATATTAAGTTAGTCCTGTGATTTACTTTAATTCATTATTGTTTCCTCAGAACAGAAAAAGTTCACCAGGGTTTCAGAACTAGAGTTTCTCATCATTTCTACCTAATCCTCTAAGATGAAGATTCTGAGGGGAAAAAAAATCTTACCAAGTTCAATTTGTCTTCCTACAATCCAAATACACACAATTGCAATCAGAATTGTGCCTTGCTACCCTTGCTGGTTTGGGCTATTGGGAATTATGATTCAACACCTGAAGACCACAATTCCTTAGCCATACAGGCAATTTTTGTTCTATGACTCATGGCTAAATTTTTAATCAATAATATTCTACTGAGTCATCTGAGGTTTAAAAAAGAGCAAAAGCAAACTGAAAAGAGATAGAGCTCAGTGGTATGGCATATTTCATAGAAAAAGACTCTGTGAAAGCTCTTTGTGGCTCAATGTGAGATTATATTCTGGTAACCAGGAGATTTCTTGGCACTACTCCTTGCCACATGAAGGTGGGTCCATTAGATTGATCTGCTCCCAGTGACAGATGGACTCACATTGGTTTCAGAGATAGGTAGGAGCTGTTCCTGATGGGTTTTTGGATGATCTCTAATGGGGAAGGATGGGTGTACTGTATCCATCATGACTATTTGGTAACTTTCATACCTCTTTCAACACCATAACCAATTGGCTCCCTGGAGTGGCAGTGTAATATGCTGGTTTCTGTAGGCGAAGGAGTGGCAGAACCTAGGGTGGAGTTAAAAGAGGGACCAGCCTAGAATCACTATGTAGCCATAAACGGACTAAGTGCAACCACTTTTGAGTTCCATTTACTCTTATCTAATTCCCAGCAGGTGCTAACCATTAGTTGAGAACATTCTTGTTCATAGGCTATGTAGCAATAAATCAGTTTAATTAGAACTTCATGTGTGGATCTGATTTTTTGCATCTGACAGTTTCCCTCTTACCTATGGGGCCATTACCAGTTGGTGTTGATTGGGAATGAGAGATCCCACACTCGTCCTATTATGTAATGGGTTTCAGAGGATTTTGTACTCTTTCCACTCCTATTTAATATCTTCCTGAAACCATTGGGTGAGATCATCCATCACCCTGGAATGTGTATGCTGATTATACTCGATTGTACATTGGTGCTCTTGATATCCTGACTCAGTGCCTGGAGTGTGTGGGGATCTGGATAGGGATGGGGATCTGAATTCTGGCAAGCTTCCTGATCTGGGATTTTACCATCTTTGATACTAAACAGGGTGGAGGCACTGCCCCAAACAGACTTACTGCACAATCTGAGGTTCCCTCTGTACTCCCATGGAGCAGGTGGTAGTCTTGACTAGGATGGTCTTTGCAGCATGTTGTTGCATGCCCTAGTTACCTCCTAAATGAACTACTGTACTTAATGCTTTCTACATGAGATTGCCCTTGAACAGTATTTGGACATTTCAATTGGTGCAAAATGTGGTTATGTACTATATTCCCCTTCGATGGCATGCATTACATTTCTGTTCCATGAGCTGCATTAGTTACCAGTTTGCTTCTGGATGGATTCAAGGTGTTGGCTTTGAGTTTTGTAGCCCTACATGTCATAGGTCCTGGGTATTTGAGGACTGACTTTCCTGGATTACATCTACCAGTCCATCAGGCCAAGTAGGAGGAACATGTTACATGTCCCATCCATTAAGGAGACAATCTCTGGCATTTCAAGTTTAAAAAGAACTTGAGGAGTGATGAGAAACTATGCCCAAAAACAGGGAAAAAAAGACTTTGTAATCTAAAACGTTTCTTATATTCCTAAGTCATAAAACAAGTTGCAAACCCTTTTAGTCCATTTTTAGTGTATTTGATCCAAAATGAAACAGTGCCTTGTCTATGAGTTTTTATGTTTTAACTTCTACAAATAACTCCAAGTTACACTGATGTGACAGAGAGGCCCTGTCTTACAGTCCATGTACTGAGATCTACATCTGACTACCAACAGATCCAGTCACATACAACTGTCAAGCAACTATCAGATGGCAATGATTTTCTGTCACTAAGAACGTGAATTGGATTTGAACCAGTGACTCAGTGCTGAAGACTTTGTTCCCCATTAACAGTTTCCCAAATCAGCTCTCCACTCACCTGCACAATTAAATAACTTACTCATATTTTAACAAGGAAAGAGGATATAAGATTTCTCTTTAAGCAATTTTACATCAATTTTTAAAACAATTTAAAACCCC